CGCCATTCTCCCAGACCCAAGGGCGGCGTGTGTGTTTCTTTAGTGCTTTCTCTTGCTAGAAAAAACGATGTGTGTTCAGCAAAAAAAGGGTAGTACCCTGGGGGGTGGGATGAGCGGGGGGGGGGGGGTCTGCGTGTGTGTTTCCGGAAGAAGCGCGCATGTCTCTTGGAAAAGGCCAAGTGCGTCTTGGTAAACGTGTTTTTCTTGGTGGGAATCGCACTACAATACACACCCAGCGGACGTGTGCAAAAGGTATGGTTGTCGGAACGGCCGCATGTGCGTCGTGTTAGTGTTGAATAGTATGTCTGGAAGAGCGTGCGTCTTGAAATTGCGGGTGTTCGTGACTACTTCCTAGCACCAGCAGTCTCGGCATGACTAATGGAAACACAGTTGGCTCAGCGGAAAAACGGAGAAAAGGGGGGAGAGGGGGGCGTACTCTTATGTTTTGCATGCCTTAGCGGTTAGACCATTGACCACGCGTCCTCGAGAGGACGGAGCATTGTTCCCACAGGACCGATCACCAATGGCCAATCGTTCCTTCCTACTTTGCCAAAGGTGGCTCAAAAATGTCTTCCCTAGTTTGTCTATCCTACCGATGTCCCTTCCCGCCTTTTCAAACCACTTTCTACTCCCCAGTACCGCTACCGTCCTCTCCTCTCTATTCCATGCCTCAAACACTCCCTGTACGTCACTTGTATTCTTCCCAGCTCAGTCATGTACACTTCCCTCTCCTTTTCGTACCACGGACATTCCGCGACTACATGAACACTGTCTTCGCATTCGGAGAGGGGGGGGGTCGTGATTGCGGTGGTGGTGTTGGGGCAGTGGCGAGGAGGGGAGCGAGGAGGGTGAGGGGGGGGGTTGGGTGAGGAGGGCCCGCAGAATCGTGATCGAGGTACCGCTTACGGAAAAAACGAAAAAATGATAGAGTAGGACCTCATGCGCCAAGCATCGAACTCTTGTTATCTACCTGCAAAGACGACAGCACTCAAACTGCTGCTGCTGCTGCTGCTGCTGTACAATACCTCGTACAACCACAAATGGTGTAGGAGGCAAAATCATACCCCCCTGGGTCCAGCCTCCGACCCAACAGATTTTCGAGCCACAAAGGGGGAGCAAAGAGGAACTTCAACGGCGTTTGACGCAAGACGTTACACTTCGCGGGTTTGCTACCCGACGTCGTCAGTCGGCCGTTACTACCTCTGCTGTTCTCAGTCATGTGTTCCACCACCAAATGCTCGAAAAGTACAATGTATATGAGGGTGCACTCAAGGGAAAGCTGGGGGGCTGTATGATCTGTCCACGTGGCGAGTTCGGCGGACAAATCGCACGTCTACGGTGCCAGAGAACAGTAGTGCAAGCATGTCTCTGCGTCGTGTGTAGGCCTGTTTAAGGGTCGCTGCTGGGAATGGAATGGCGATTTTGTTGTGTGTCGTCGTGCCCTTCACTCTTCACTCACCGGCAGGCCATCATGACCCTGTAACCTCCGAGCGCCGCGAGATGCCGACAGCATTCCTTCCCGATGCCTGGCACACACACAGCAGCAACAGGTACATGCGAATTCGCTAGAGGTTGGTGATCGTGGACATCTGGAAACCCAAGCTACAGTACAGCGAGAACGAACCGGTTGTGTGAAAGCGTGAAAGAGGTTCGCGACTACTCGACTACTCAGTCTTAGGGTAAAAATGGTCTGATGAACCAACGTCAATCGGCTCCCCGGTTTTTAGCAAGCGGGAAGGAAAGAGGCAGATGCAGAGAGGGACAGAGACAGAGACAGAGACAGAGACAGAGACAGAGACAGAGACAGAGACAGAAAGAGGGAGAGAGATAAAGAGGGAGAGAGATTGGGGGGGGGGTACTGATGGTTTGGGGGGGGTAGGGCGGGCATACTCATGGGTTCAACCACACTTCCAACTTTGTAGCAGATACGAATCCACCAAACATGCTGGCGCACTCGCAGTTTGCGCAGCGAGGTGATCAAGGGTTCCATGACAGATGATGTCAGCCCGATGGTGCGTGGCCTTTGTGTGCAACGCCCTCCTCCGGCCGGGCAGATAGTTCCGATTCGGAAAACCCACCACAGCAGTTCTATTTCTAATTCGCAGTACATCACCAACAAGCATAGAATAATATTTCATCCAGCAGATCACTCCAGTGTGTTCTGCGCATGGTTATCATGTCCGAAAACAAAACAAATTCGGAGCCGGGTACGCTGCGATATCGCCCCCTGGGATGTACTTCATGTACTACGGAGGATAAGCCGGTTTTGAGAAAAAAGAGGTGTAGCGCGATCCAGAACTCGAACTTTTCAGATCGGTGTTTTTCGTTGTTCTTTTTAGGTCCTGGAGCAGGGCCCAAGGTCTTTTGCTAGCCCCCAACGCAGCACCACCTACACGGATCCCTCTGCTTTCTGTAGGAGCCCTGTTTGCTGTGGTTGCTGCAGCGATTGAGCCAAAACATCGGTTTTGAGTGGTTCTCCAAAACGCCTCGAGAACCACAAAACAAAAATTTCTATTTTTTCATGGGAAGCCGTTCAACCGGTGGATTTCTGTCTTTCAAAAATACTTCCTCTTGTTGTCGTGGGCGTAGGCTGTGCTGAATAGGGGGCTCACGAAAGACCTCGGTTTTAGGCCTTGCCTCAGTTCATCGCGAGAGCAACGAAAAAATGTTTGAAAAATATCCCAAGGGGGCACGAGCTACACCACCTTCCCCTCGAATCGGAACTATCAGCCAGGCCGGAGGAACCGCCTGCTGTTGGGATCTGCGATGTACAGCAGTTGGGCTCTAGAATACAGCAGCACTTGCACATTGAGTGTACTGCTTTGTAGTTTCTCTCAGATGACCTCATCAACAGCTAGTCTGAACTCTATGCATAGCCTGCACACTACAGAGTTCTTCTTGAACAAGTCTCCAGCTGACTTGGACAACGACTTGTGCTGTGCATCCCTCGGAATTTAAAAACGGCGTGTCTAAGCCCACCCCGGTGGGGTATTTCGTAGTTTCCACCAGTGAGGGACAAGGGGGACTAGTGTCTAAATACCCCACCAGCTGTATCTCGCCCTACAAGGCGCCAATCGACGTACATAGGATATGCACACTGCACAACTGTACTGTGCTACGGTTGTGTTGTGGGGCTATCGTGGGACCCATCGCACCACCGAAACGGTTCAGGTTTGGTGCAGCCATGGCTGATGGGGGAAATTGATCAGCTGCCCCAACCTGCCCCACTGGTGAGGTACATGGCCTTGAATACCCCACCAACTGCATGTAGCCCTACAAGGCTCCAATCGACACACAAGCACCGGTAGGAGTGTGTGGAACATGCACACACAGCACACAGCAGCGGGCAGCAGGTCGGGCGGTCAGCACGTCAAGTGTTCCCGCCACACACCTCAAAACGCGTCAAGCGGGAACCGAACACTGCTTTCTCACTGGCGGGGCACATAGCCTTGCTTACCCCACCAGCTCTATCCGGCCTAATCACACTTCAGTCGTTCGGCTCAGAGACTCCAGCCCCGACATGGTGACTGGGGCCCAAATGATTGCGTCACGCACGAGGCCGGCGATGTATCTACTCCTACCTACAGCATACATGGCATCCACG